CTCCCCATCAGGGTCACACTCAGCAGGACTGTTATCAGGGAGGGGATATTTAATACCACAGTAACCGTCATACCTCCACTTTCTCTTACCTCCTGATTCTCTCCAGTCCTTATATATAACACTGAAGTCTACACAGCCAGAACAAGAGCAGTGCTCAGCTATGTTACCACACATACCACCCCACCACCTGTTACAACACGGGTCCTCCCCATCAGGGTCACACTCAGCAGGACTGTTATCAGGGAGGGGATTAATACTACCACATCTACCGTCAGATCTCCACCTTATCTTACCTCCTGATAGAGTGAAGTATTGTACACTTAGTACTATTTGTATTGTTTATATTGTCAATATAATATGTATTTACGTATATAACTCATTTAATCATTGTGACTAATTTGTTCTCATATAATGTCGGTGTAGGGGGAAATTCAAACAAACCACTATCACTAATTAACATGGTTACACCACTGCTACTAGTTACCATGGTTACACCACTGCTACTAGTTACCATGGTTACACCACTGCTACTAGTTACCATGGTTACACCACTGCTACTAGTTAACATGGTAACACCACTGCTACTAGTTACCATGGTTACACCACTGCTACTAGTTACCATGGTTACACCACTGCTACTAGTTACCATGGGTAAACCACTATCACCTTGTTTAAAAATTTTGATCGGTTTAAATGGCAGTTTCAAATAAAATATTTTCATACAATCTTGTTAACCTGCTTTGGGCACTATCCGTCGCGGAGTCGAGTCCGCGGCGGAGCCGCCGGACTCCGAGCGGACTCCAGCGGAGCCGCCGGACTCCGAGCGGACTCCGGCGGTGCTCCGCCGAAATGTATTTACAGTGGACTCGAGTACATTTTGGCGGACTCCGAGCGGAGCCGAGCGGACTCCGAGCGGACTTTAAAGTCCGCCGCGGACTCCGAGCGGCTCCGCGACGGCTCGGCGGAGTGTCCGCCGCGGACTAAGCCACTAGGCGGACTCCGGTCCGCCGCGGACTCCGGCGGAGTGCTTGGCGGACTCCGCCGGACCTCTCCGCCAGACTTGAATCCGGCGGAGTCCGGCGGAGCTTGGCGGAGTCCGCCAGCTCGGCGGACTCCGCTCGGAGTCCGCCGGACTCCAACAGAGTCCACTGACTTCCGACCTCCGTCTTCCGACCCTCGGCTAAATTTGTCACGTGACATACAACATAGCATTTTGCAATATTGTGGTCAGATGAAAAGGTCGCTAGTGATAAACCTTAACCATTACCCTCACAATGTCAATAGTGTACAACTCTAGTCCTAACTTTGACCCTATAATGTATAAACGTTGACCCTAATCCTCCACCAAACCGTCCGCAGCGAAATATCAATGTCATTGACTGGTCACGTGACCAAAACAATTTTTGTCATATTATCTCATATGGGGAAGCGTTTTTAGTTTTACCCTACACGTTGCATGTGGCGTCATTCGGCCGGATCCCAGCAAGCAAAAATACGTCGACCATCACAGGACGACGTCAGCCAGCACTCTCTACGCTCTTCGAGCTCCGATCGTCCTGTGACGAAGTAAGGACGAAGCCTGAGGTCCTCAGGTAACATCGACCACCGATTGAAAATTCAAAGATTTTTTGACATAAAGGTCAAATGTAAAACTAAAATCTTGATGCTGATTGATTGACGACGTCAATTATGCTTACGCCCATTATGCTTACATCTCCAATTTCAATTGCAGTGTGGTGCTTGCGTGGCGCGGCGGGTCGGGTACTCATGTATTTGATTATTGAGAGTACCCCATCTTATGAACGATAGATGAACTAACAATATATTTTGAAGTTTTTTTTTGAAGTATATTATATGTATTGATTATTCTGTGGCAAATAAAATTCTCTTTTTCTTAAATTCTCTTTTTCTTAATTCGTGTTCATTGAAATATTACCGCCAGCGAGGAGCCGCAGCTGCGACTGAAAGTCGTGTTACCCACTTCCCTGTACTGTATTGTGATCAGCATGAGTTTAATCAAAGTAATGTGTATCACTCGCTTCACTCGATCCGAAATTAAAGTATATAATCCTACAACGCTAAGCTAGTAATAGAGTGGCACATCTTAACGGGGGATACGCGTATAAATTTCGATCGCTGACGTACAGCGAGCAGCACAGCTGCGAATGGCGTCAGCAAGTAGGATTTCATCTTACAAGGCACATCGCGATTACTTAGCTAACCAGGTCATTTCCGCCTCCGGCGGTCGCGCGCTACTGCAAGCGAGAGGGCTATAGTTAGAGCAACACATCGCGCCACAAGCCAAATATTTATCAACATCTTGACTATACTAGCTACGCGGTCCTTTTCCGCATGCGCTCGCGCTGTGCTCAAAAATTGACGTCGTCAATCAATCAACATCAAGATTTTAGTTTTACATTTGACCGTTATGTCAAAAAATCTTTGAATTTTCAATCGGTGGTCGATGTTACCTGAGGACCTCAGGCTTCGTCCTTACTTCGTCTCAGGACGATCGGAGCTCGAAGAGCGTAGAGAGTGCTGGCTGGCGTCGTCCTGTGATGGTCGACGTATTTTTGCTTGCTAAAAACGCTTCCCCATATGAGATAATATGACAAAAATTGTTTTGGTCACGTGACCAGTCAATGACATTGATATTTCGCTGCGGACGGTTTGGTGGAGGGTTAGGGTCAACGTTTATACATTATAGGGTCAAAGTTAGGACTAGAGTTGTACACTATTGACATTGTGAGGGTAATGGTTAAGGTTTATCACTAGCGACCTTTTCATCTGACCACAATATTGCAAAATGCTATGTTGTATGTCACGTGACAAATTTAGCCGAGGGTCGGAAGACGGAGGTCGGAAGTCAGTGGACTCTGTTGGAGTCCGGCGGACTCCGAGCGGAGTCCGCCGAGCTGGCGGACTCCGCCAAGCTCCGCCGGACTCCGCCGGATTCAAGTCTGGCGGAGAGGTCCGGCGGAGTCCGCCAAGCACTCCGCCGGAGTCCGCGGCGGACCGGAGTCCGCCTAGTGGCTTAGTCCGCGGCGGACACTCCGCCGAGCCGCCGCGGAGCCGCTCGGAGTCCGCGGCGGACTTTAAAGTCCGCTCGGAGTCCGCTCGGCTCCGCTCGGAGTCCGCCAAAATGTACTCGAGTCCACTGTAAATACATTTTGGCGGAGCACCGCCGGAGTCCGGCGGCTCCGCCGGAGTCCGCTCGGAGTCCGCTCGGAGTCCGGCGGCTCCGCCGCGGACTCGACTCCGCGACGGATAGTGCCCTGCTTTGAAATACTTTCAATAAAAATAATCTAATCAAATTATGAAATAATTTTGATCTAACAATTGATATCAGTACATCAGTACAGCCGTGGCCGATAACACTTGATCGAGCATGGAAGTGAAAGAACATAATATTGCTAACCAATAATTTGTCTTTTGTGGCGATCACTACCGAAATCTTTCACAGCTCTGGGTGCAGTTCCGTTTTCTGAAACATGAATGATCAACAACTGCGTGTATAATTAATACGGATTTACAAGTTCAAAGCCAGGATCTTTGACAAGCTGACAAGGGGTGCGCTATCTTAATCAGAATCAATCTGGACACAGTCATTTCAAGCTTGAGGGGGGGGGGGGCAATTTAGCCAAATACCCTTAACATGCTCAAAACCCAAGTTTATGGTGCTCTACTTGTAGCTAGTGGTCTCTTGAACTCGTATATGAAATGTCATCAGGATTGGACAAAAAATGACTGAGTTATGAGCAAAAAACCATGTGCCCATATTTGGGCATACGCACCAAATTTGGTAGATTTCGTCCCGTAAATTGGTCAAATATCAATATTTTTGAAGAAGACTTACTTTATATGAAAGGTAAGCCTAAACTTAACTACATATTATTCTCTGTAAGTTATAGCTTTATATCAGCTGTTTAAATGTGGATATTAAGGAGTAAGGCGAAAAGACCACAAAAAATGAACTAAATTGCCCGTAAGCTCGTATCTTGGTTCGCGATATTCGCGGAATTGATCTCATTAAAATTGTAACAACTCAATCAGTTTTCAAAATTTTTGCATGAAATTTTCGGAATCGACTTTAAATTGCATTTCCACCTTATTTTGAGAACAGATTTTTGATTTACGCCTCCAAAATAATTTGGCGGCAAAATTCAGAATTTGGCCGCCAAACGGTGCAAAAGTACAAACTCGCTCAGTTCAAACACACCGCAATCTAGTGCCCTTTGCGTATCTAATAGTAATACTTGATAGGCAATCTTGAAGTCAACTGCCAAATTACCTAATTATATTGCAAATCTGTTTTGAGGGGAAGGAGAACGAGAATGTGAGAGTTTGGGAGAGTACGTGAGACACTTTAGTATCACATTTAGGTCACAAAATGATCAATTATTTAATTAAACCACTTACCACCGACCGATTTGAAAAATATTTTTAAATTACTCCTCCAGATCCAGTCTCACCCTTCAATTGGACGTAACTCAATAGCTGAAGTAACTCTGATAGGTACTTCCTATTAGAACCTGTAAAACTGGCCTCCAGCACGCCATGTTTGAAATTCAAGAAAATGGGGGATATTCAAAGGGTGCAGGATTTTCTGTGTTCAGCTCGACAACATACCGGTAGAAATTATTTCGTAGACCCTAAAATAACTCCTCCAGATCCAGTCTTACCCTTTAATTGGACATAACTTAATAGCTGAAGTAGCTCTGATACGTCCAATTAGAACCTGTAAGACTGGCATCCAGCTCGCCATTTTTGAGATTCAAGCAAATCGAGGATGTTCAAAGGGTGCAGGATGTTCAGCTCGACAAAATACCGGTAAAAATTATTCCGTGGGCCCTAAAATTACTCCTCCAGATCCAGTATTACCCTTCAATTGGACGTAAGTCACTAGCTGAAGTAGCTCTGATACTTCCGATTAGAATCTGTAAAACCTTGCAAATGCAAGTATTTATGTTCAGTAAATTATAACGCTCACAATTTCTTACCTGATTCTGTTGAACTAGAAGGGCCAGAAGAGGTAACCTGCTGTTCTCTTCGAACCATCCCGTGTTTTCTTTCAACTGTACCACCTTGAACGACATTTGTATTTAGTAGCCATATAATTGTGACATCTGATTCGCCTTACTTTAAATGTCAATAAATACGCCTTGATGAGTGTTGCTAAAAATTTACAACTCACCGTTTTGTATGTATGTATTAGTTCGATCTGTGAACCAGTGATATTAGGGCCCATTGAAACTAGCATCACTACAAGATTGCAAAAACAACTTTAACCAAATGTAGCCAATATTGGTCTAATGTTGGTGACAGTTAAAGATCTAATTGTTGCAATTTTTTATGTTCAGTAGATTATAACGCTCACAATTTCTAACCTGATTCTGTTGAACTAGAAGGGCCAGAAGAGGTTACCTGCTGTTCTTTTCGAACCATTCCGTGTTTTCTTCCAACTGTAGTACCTGGAACGAAATTTGTATTTAGTAGCCATATAATATTAGTACAGACAAATCCGTCTGAAAAAATCGATCTGCTGACACACGAAGCTTTCAGAGGATTTTTGACGTTTTTGAGTACCATTAGGTGCCCTTTATGGCTGACCAACTTTTCCAAACTTTTCCACTTGTCTTAAGGCCACTTTTTGCCACTTTACCACTTTTTACCACCTTTCTTGTTTGTCGAATATCTTTAGTTGTGAACATCGTAAAAGGTTGCAGATCAATCGAGTGTGTTCATATTATCAGGAAGAAAAACTTTTGTACAAACAATTTTTACGTCAGATAATAAGTTAATTGGATAATTATCAATTAACTAATTAGCAAAATTCTAAAAATTTTTTATTGGCTCAAAATGATCGGAATAGCTTGAAACACGGAGAAAAGTATTTTTTAGAAAAACTTTGAAAATTTTTCACTTACATTTTTTTTCGAGACTTAAGAAAAATTTCGAAAATTCAAAAAATTTTTCCGCCAAAAGTGATCAAACCGCATGAAACACGGAGTAGTACAGTCAAATCCGTCTTTTTGTCGGACAAAATTCGCAACAAAGCGATTTTAACGGGATATGGTCGGGACAGGTCCCAGGATTCATTCCAGAGAGTTCCCAAAATCCTCGACTTCAGGAAAATCCACAGTTACCACTTTTTTACCACCTTTTTACCACTTTGGTTTTCCGCAAATAAGTCACGTTCTGAATATCCTAGAAGATTCTAGTTTAAAGCATTGTGTTAAGAAAACAAAGAAGAACAACTTTTTCTTTAACAACGTTTTCAAAAATAAATTATTTATTTAATTAATTAAATAATTAATAAATTTTAAAATATTTCAAAAATACATTTTCATGAAAAATGTTCACAATTACATTCCACGAATATTGAACTAATTTCTATGAAAATTTTGAAAATTTTCACTAACAATATTTTGAACTTGTAAAATTTACGAAATTTGAGAAGAAAAACCACTATTTACCACTTTTTACCACATTGAATCTCCGCTAAAAAAACGACTTCTGAATATCGTAGAAGGTTCTAGATTGAACCAATGTGTTCAAAATATAAAGAGAACAAAGTTTTATCTGACAACCTTTGGATTAGATAATTAATTAATTAGTTAATTCGATTATTAAACAAATATCCAAAAATTATAAAAATTATTTTTGATCAAAATATTTTAAAATTACATATCACGAATAATTAACAAATTTCCATTAAATTAATCGGGAAATCGAAGTAGTACTTTATATAACCATATATATACTAGATAACAGTCTAACTTATGAGTCCTCAGCTGGCACATTGCTGCAATTGTCCTGACATTTGAGGCAGGTTGATCCACAATGTATTCCTGCTTTTCTGCATGAACAAGCATTGCCACAACCTGACTTTAAACATTTGCAACTGATTTTTTGAATGAGCTTTTTCGGAGCTGTACTCATAAGAGTGGTCACTGGTACATGTGTCCCATTGTTCATCTTCCATCCCAGCTTATCGGATCTAGGTCATTCTCATCCCACACCTGCTGCTGATGGTAAACACGATAAGAATGTTGGCGGGAGCTGTTCGCACTTGATGTCTGCTGTTGAAGATTGCGACTTCTGTTCAAGAACTGAAAGTCTTGCTTCATCTAGTGATCTCGATTTTTATGAAATCAGCTATTCTTAACCAATACAATGTTTTAATTTACCAGGCAAATGAGGAGTTAGTTTCGGTGAATAGCTTTAAGAGGGCGAATGATCGACAATGTAAATTTGCATGGAATGAAATATGGAAAGGGTTGCTGTCCTCAGGTACTATTTAAACTATTTATCTTTTAAGTAAGTGCACTAACTTTTAAACTATGCCCAGCAAATTTGAAACGGATACGTACAGTCCTATTCTTTATCCTGACGCCTCTCATACCTTGTATAAATAAAGAAATCAACGCACCACAGGTTGGATCAACAACCCCTGGTCACTGAACGAAATTAAACGGCAGTACAACGGCATGACTGATTCAGCTCTGAGTGACGTCTTGTGTGTATTATTGCAGACAGTGACCATAGACCAGTTCCAAAGATTCATATCTAGCCTAGCGGTTAGAGCATCCGCCTTCTGCGCAGAGGTTCAGGGTTCGAATCCCAGTGTCACCTAGTCTAGGGAGTAGCTAAGGATCCATTGGATCTAAGGGATCTCAACGGTCGACTCAACCGAATGATAGGAAACTTAATTGAGGTTTAAATGAGGCGGGGCACCTGTTAAAAGTTCAAGCAACTAGGATACCCCTTCAGTGCATACTGTAAACATAGTGCTGTTAACTATTATATCGGCCAATGAAGAGGAGTTCGTTGTAACTGAGACAGGACCATCTTTAGTCCGCGAACACAGTTTAAACAAATGTCCATTCTGTAACGTAGAGATCGCACTAAATGATAAATCCTCAAACCGGATTACAGACAGGGTAAATTATTGTGCGGGGGAGGGGGGAGGTGGTATAGTACACATACGTTAGGCTCTTACTAAGTTCCTAATTCGCTCGCCCAAAAATTTCTCGTGACTTTCTCCGTAGCTTAGTGCACTAGATTCCCACTATCGGAATCGTTCTGAATAGCCGATCCTTACCAACTCCGTGGATCCGACTGGTGGTGTCTGATCCAGTGAAAGCGTGGCACAGAAATCGTGCAGAAAGCCCAATTACGGTATCCTAGCACCCTGTCACGTGATAAGCAATTAGGTAATCATTGATAACCCAATCAATTTCGCTAACGAGATAAACAAATTGCTTGATAACTTCGTCATTTTCAATCCGTTTCGCACATCGTTTTGCAGATGTTTTGATTTGCAGAGAGGCAGTTCTGTGGTCTAATCCAGTTGATGTTTCTGTAAGTCGAGAGATATGATGTGTAAATATTTATAAATAAGCTATAATAGTATCGTACAAATTTTGATATTTTACCGTTTATTCCATTTATCTGAATTTTTTAAATCTGTTATCTAATCTATGTGACGGTGTATGTTCTGTTATTCAAGTAAATTCATTTTACGTCACGGCAAATATTTTTGATAAAAAGTATATTTTGAAATTTTTAAAAATTTAATTATTATTTAATTAATAAATCAATTAATTATCTAATCCAAAGGTTGTCAGATAAAAAGTTGTTCTCTTTTATATTTTGAACACATTGGTTCAATCTAGAACCTTCGACGACATTCAGAAGTCGTTTTATTAGCGGAGATTCAATGTGGTAAAAAGTGATAAATAGTGGTTATTCTTTACGAATTTCGAAAATTTTACAAGTCCAAAATATTGAAAGTGAAAATTTTTATAAAAATTAGTTCATTGCACGTGGAATGTAATTGTGAACATTTTTTATGAAAATATATTTTTGAAATATTTGAAATTTTATTAATTATTTAATTTATTAATTAAATAATTTATTTTTGAAAAAGTTGTTAAAGGAAAAGTTGTTCTTCTTTGTTTTCTAAACACAATGCTTTAAACTAGAATCTTCTAGGATATTCAGAACGTGACTTATTTGCAGAAAACCAAAGTGGTAAAAAGGTGGTAAAAAAGTGGTAATTGTGGATTTTCCTGAAGTCGAGGATTTTGGGAACTCTCTGGAATGATTCCTGGGACCTGTCCCGACCATATCCCGTTAAAATCGCTTTGTTGCGAATTTTGTCCGACAAAGGCTTAAATTAGGACGGATTTGACTGTACTAGAGAAAAATGCCTTTCAAAAAAACTTAATACTTAAATCGCCAATATTTGTAGTTGGAGTTCAGTAAATCTCGGCAGATTTTAGTAAACAGGAATTACTAAGTGAAGAGGTCTGAAACTGAAAAACGTTAACCATACGATCGCGCGGCGATATAAGAGTTTCATAAACTAATTTTCACAGAAACTGCACCAATGGCACAGTCAAGATCGAAACGATAGCCTGCTGTACTGTCATTTTATTGATTTCAATGATGAATCAGTGGGGTTAAGATAATCACATTTGTAATAAATAAACATCTCTGTACCGTCAATTGTGCTAATCTAAACCAGCCTACCTGTATTACCAGACCTCTTCTTTTCCTCGACAATCAAACCAAGTTGTTCATATCGCATTTGGTGGGTGATGTAAGTAGTAATACATATCGAGCTGTATTCAATCACAATACGACACAATGCAATACGTGTATATTATATTATGGCCCTTAATGAGGTATATGAAACGTTCTATACCGTACACTTCTCGTTACTCCAGTGAGAGGCCCAGTATGGAGAGGTTTAACAGTTTAGCACGAAAACGTCTACTTGGCCTCATGGCTCTTTGACAGCTCAAAGAAGGTGAGAAAAGACCAGAAAGCTTAAATTTTCAACTCCACATTAATCCTGAGCTGATCATCATGGCCCCGAATATCCTACGGGAAGAACCCGTATTTTTACCTCACGACGTCCGGATTTCAAATCAACACCCTCAATAACATTAACAATCCTTCCTGATCAGGATCTGTCTCTATTAGCAATTTCCAAAATATCCTGACTCTCGTGGAACATTTCACTGAATTAATTATTACTGGTTTTTTATTACCCCTTGCCCGTCATTCGTATCTA